AAAGTTTTTTTTTTTTTTTTTAGTTGCCAGGTTTCTAAATGGTAAAAGCATGCATCATTTTTCACCAGGTCTCGTTTTAATATACTCAAAAGGCAATCCATGCAACGGACCCAGCGCCTTCTCTCTGGCATGAACTTCATTGCTGTCCAGAGGACCTCTTTCTGCTATTATATCCATTTCTCAGCGGGGACGTATTTGCAAGACAAATGCAGCTGCGAGTTAAGCAGCAACAAACATTTTCACCAAAGGGAATAAATTCAAGTTATGGTGATTAATACGCTTGTTTCTGTGAGATAGTTATCTCTCCAATTCATCTGTCTTTTTTTTTTTTTCCGAGCGATATGAAAGCAATGATTTGCAACAGAGAAGGGAGACACTAGATGAATTGTACGAAAACAACATTTAATGTTTATGAAGAAGTATTTATTTTCTATCAAATATATTTAAACTGACCTTATTCTGGATTGTAAGAAAATATGCGTTTTTATATTCGGCAATGAGGTTTAACAACCCTTGCAAATCCATCTTATTCAACAGGCAGACGTATCTGAAGTCAAAGTTGTTGGATTTTCTGAGTGTTGTTTTTTTTTTTTAAGCGAGTCTTATTCTTCACGTAACGAGGGAGCGGCGGATCGAGCTGGGGAGGGGCGAGGGGGCGTTTGCCTTGGTTACCTACCGCCAAGTGCAACCGGTGCTGGATGGAGCATGGAGCGTGGAGCTGAACGCGGGCCAGAGGCGAACAGAAAAGCAGGAACAGAAAGTAATTCTGCATGGTCTGGCTATATGTTGGGGTGATTGGTTGGCGTGGCTGACAGCCAGGGCTGGGACCATGCCCAGTCCTCACTTTGATTAACCCTCCCTGCTGAAACTCCGCAGGAATCCAGCGCACCAGCTAGTCCCATTGATCGGGCAGGCAATGAAACCAATTAATTTCTGCAGTTAAAAAAAATCCTCTTTATGTTGTTTTACAAACTAAGTTGCAAGCGTCCCCCATCCCTCCCTCCTGATTCCCCCTATCCCTCAAAAGACATTTAAAGGTAAAACTGTTTGACACCTGAGGAAAGTTTCTATGGCAACAGCATTGACGACAGACAGCAGTGTCTTATGCAGCACTGGAGTGGAATATAAAATTAGCCAACTACCTGAACAAAAAAGCACAGTTTAAAAACAAAGAAGAATTATGGCAGAGTCACATCATCGCTATAGATCGAGTGATGGCCTAGCAAAATGCGCAAATCTTACTCCAATGAACATTATTCATAATTGACAGATATTTGATCTGAAATTGGTAATTGATTATAGGCTTGTCGCCAAGGGTCACATGGTTCAAGTCGCATGTGTGATGACAGTTTTTCAGAGATGTACCCGCTGGGGAAGAGTAGGGTGAGATACCAGGATGTTGACCCTTTTCTGGTGTAATCTGAGGGGGGGCTTATGAATACCAAAATAAACATGGGAGGGGGGTGTGAAACAAGAAAACATTCCTGAAAGTCTCTGAATGAAGCCTCTTAGGGGATGAGAAAATGTAATTATGAACAAGTCACTTGTGATCTTCAATGCGCTCATTATGTGTTACTGTCTACAGCAGCAGAGACCAAATGACTGTGTGTTTGACACCACTGGAAATGTATAAACCCCCCCCACCCCTCTCAAATGGGGAAAACAGTTACAGGCCACATGAATTAAAGACATAAACATTCATTGTTAGTATAGCCACAGAGCCATTGAACGCATCTCGGGAAGGATGGAATTCCTCTGTTTTTGTGAGGCCCGAGACAGACAGAGAACTAAATAACATTCTGGAATGTTCCGCTGGCGGCGTGCAAGGCTGCGGCCTGTCGTGTCCCCACAATGCAGCGGCGCTCTCTGTCCGGGGCCCAATTCGGTCCGCCTTATCGCATTCACGCTCAGTCAGATGCTCGCTTGTATTCTGCCGTAAATTAACCGCCCCCTCCACCATTCTCCTTCCACCTCGGGCCAGACTAGCTTCCGGATCAAATGGAAAGTGTTAAGGGTGCTCTACCTGACCAGAAGCCGCACAGTGACACAGTCAGATTGACTTGAATTTTTGTTGTTTTAAAACATAAAAGAATACTAAACTACAGTACAGAAAATAAAGTAAACAACAAAAAAAAAAAAACACATTGTGAGGATTTCCTTCTTGTATTTTGGATTTCAGAATAGTCAGGGCTAATCTGTCAAGCAAATTAAAACAGGATGTACATTCGCATCACAAAAACTAGATCACGACACAGTTTGCAGGTTTCCAGCTTGACAAATCTACCGGATCTTGTAAAAGGATGACCTAGAGGCCAGCATTTCCGAAGGTGAGGCGCTGTGTCGTTTCACAGGTAAGCGGCCTTTTGGGGGATCGCGGTCCTCTGTGTTTTCCACTGCAAACAATGCGCATTTCTGTTAAGTGCTATAAACTGCGACGGGAAGGCGGTGATTTAACCATCCCCAATCATTTTTTATACCAATCAAATGAATGTGGATACTCCTCTGTGGGAGGGGCGACATGACATTTCCCCGGGCGATTCTAAACAGGTCACGCACCCTCCATAGTCCCCAAGGCGGTGGGTGGGGAACTTAACCAAACCGTATAACCGAATCAAACCAGTGGTTGCCCCTTTTTAGCCGCGGAGGAATAAGGAGCACAAAGCCATTCACACAGGGGAATAGAGGACATGCTTATCTGAGAAGGAGGGGACTTCGCTCTCGACTTTCCGTCGCGACACTGAAAGGCCTTTGTGTTTGTCCTCCTTTGGCTTCCTTTCTCTCTATATTTTTCTCTCCCCCCCCCACCCCCCACCCGTTCTTGCCGTAAACATTTTACACCTAAAAAGAAAAAACGAAACGGACGCGACGGAAAGCGGAGCCCGGCTGGTTGGTCGCACCACATGACTAGCGCAGAGCACAGAGCTGGCCCGTCGATGACCCCTCAGCTCTCGGGGTCAGCTAAACACATCACAATTCCTATTGTTCCTCTTGATTAATTGAGACTGATAAGTTACCATGAATAAAGATAGTTTTTTTTTTTTCGGTTTAATGCGGTGGGCTTGGATTTGTATACGCCTCTTTCACGTAGCTCTGTAGTCGCTGTATATGAGCCAGACAGACTCACTGACAAGGCAAGGGAATGAAACGAATGCTATTTATTATGCCGCTACATTGCGGCGGTCTCGCGCTTTATCCCGCTATGATTCTTTGTTCACTCGCCGACTTTGTCCTTCCACGCCGCCTTGCCATGTGGAAAAAGTCGCATTTGAACACTGATTGTTTAAGTAAGCGCGCAATGACAGATAAAAGGCTAACCTTTTATTGGTTAATGTGTACCTTGAAAACAGCTTTTAAACAAACAATGAAATAAAGCAGGAGAAAATATATTCTAAAGTCCATGTCTGTAAAATAAGGCATTTTTTGTCTTATTTTTTCATTGTGTATTTTTTAGGTATTTTTTTCTGATGTAGAGAATTATGACATGACGTGGAAATGTTTTAATGCATCAAACAGAGACTGGAGAATTCAAGATTTTTTTTTTTCATTTGCATAATTTTTTTTTTTTTTTTTAAGATTTAGATGGATCCCACAGTGAACAGCACAATCGACTAGGCCGATGTAGGTTTCTGGCTCACCGGATGGATGGCCCCAGTCTGGCATCTGACTATAGTGTTTGCAGATCCCTGTCCAGAAGTTAAGACGAAAGTCAGCACCTTATCTGGCGTTGTTCAGTTAAAGGGTGACAGGAGCTAAATGTATCGGCTCTATTCCCATGGTGTGGGCTGGGGGGGGGGAGGGGTAACCTGATGTCGTCCAGAAGTCGTCTCCTCTAGCTGTCGAGTGACCATGCCAGCTCCCGAACACCGGCTTCCCTCGCACGGGTATCAGACAGCCAGGACCCTCCATGCTAACTCCTTACTCAAACTCTGTCCTCAGTGCGACTGTCCTCAGTGCGACTGTCCTCAGTGCGACTGTCCTCAGTGCGACTGTCCTCAGTGCGACTGTCCTCAGTGCGACTGTCCTCAGTCAGACTGTCCTCAGTGCGACTGTCCTCAGTCAGACTGTCCTCAGTCAGACTGTCCAATTGGCGTAAAGCTTTAGCTTGTTCACCTACAGCCAGAAGGTGATCACTGGGCAAGTGTGTGTGTGTGTGTGTGTGAGAGAGAGAGAGAGAGAGGGGGAGAAAACCACTGAGCTCATCTCTCTGTGTGGAGGGGTGGGGGGTTGTATTTTGGTCCCCACAATGTGGTAAAATCTGTTACTTTTTAACTTGCGGTGGACAATTTTCAGCTCCCCGCAACATAAACCTCAATTTTACAAAAATCTGTGAATGTGATCAAAAAACTAAAAATGTCGAAAGATCTGTATTTTGTTTGCTTGCTTGAGGGTAAGGTTAGGGCTGGGTAGGGGTTAAGGTCATCATGTTGTGATTAGAGTTTTCCCCCTAGAAATGAACCCCCACAAAGATATAATTACAAATATGTGTGTGTGTGTGTGTGTGTGTGTGTGTGTGTACGTTTAGGTTGTTTTATCATCATTAGTATAAAATTCAGGTTCACAAAGAGACAGTGGATTTTTTTTTAATGTAGGAGGTTGAAAAGGACAACTGTCGACTGCTCATTGATTATTGGATTGTTTGAATATTTCAGTGGGATAACAGTGTAATCTACCAGATTAATTTGTTAGCTTCTGTGCATCGGAAATTTTGTCTCAGAGCTTCCATATTGACAGAGGGAATTAAGACTGCCGGTTAGTTATCTGAGTTATGTCCGTTAAGCTCATTAGTGAAGTTCCTAATTATCAAAATGTCAATAGACTGTAAAGAGAGAGATTAAAGAAGCTTAGCTAGGAAGCCTCTGTCTGTGATTCAGGGCTGTGTCCCGACAAATTAATCCAAAAATCCCTTTATTGTTCATATTCTTTAATAGGAGCTGGATTAACAGCCAATGTGTAAAAGAATATATTTTAATTATGTTATATAATAAAAGGCTTAACTGAAAAGTTTTACAGTTAGCAATTGGATATGGTAAATTTACATTTGCTAACAAAGATATAGATCCAGTATTTAACATCATTTCATGGATTATTATTTTTTAAAAATTGATTTATTTTTCTGCTGCTTTTTGTTGATACTCAGGCGGTACGTTACGTCCTAATGGTTATTGAATTAGGATCTGATATCTACATAATAAGTTCCTTATTTAAGACTGAGCAAGGAATTTTCAAGCACTGACACATTTTCCGGAAAAAACACATTTTAAAATTGTCGGCTAATTGACTACAAAATAGCATGCATGTACTGACATTATAAAGATTGAGGTTAATTAAAGCAGCTACACTTTACATGAGTCTCTTATACTCAGACCTTCACTCAGACTCCCTCCACCTCTTCTCTTTACAGGACTTCACCTTCACTCAGACTCCCTCCACCTCTCCTCTTTACAAGACTCCACATTCACTCAGATTCCCTCCACCTTCACTCAGACTCCCTCCACCTGTCCTCTTTACAGGACTCCACCTTCACTCAGACTCCCTCCACCTTCACTCAGACTCCCTCCACCTGTCCTCTTTACAGGACTCCACCTTCACTCAGACTCCCTCCACCTGTCCTCTTTACAG